GTTCGTAGTTCAACGTTAATTTTATTTTCTTATGTAAATATTCTAGAAAACTTTGATAGGAGTTCTTACGTTTCTTTTGGACTTTTTCCCGTCAAATGGGTCTCCTTATCCAAAACTTACTGTATTATATTTGTCACGCAAATTGCTTAGGATTACCATTTGAACTTATTTTCTTCTGCCGTTAAATATGTTTATATTTTGCCTTCAAAGTTCCAAATTGAAAAAGCTAGGCGGTCAAGAATGTTTAATCTAGATATGTTTTTTATTGGTGAACAAAAAGAACTGTTTGACCCTTGAGTGCCCTCTCAGTCGCTGAAGTGATCTTTCGTCTAACTTCTGACAGCAGACTTGCCTGATCAAATGCCGACCAATAGACCTAATCAGAGTCCACTCTTCGTGTCCGTCATCAACGCATGTCTAAATTTTCGTCACTCTCACCCTTTCCTTCTTTTTTACAGTCTTTTTATACACCGTATTCAACTTTATTAGTCGCTACGACTTTCCATCATTCCATTTTCCATCCGTGGCACTCGTTCTATCCGTGCTGTTTATCGTCTAGAGCGCCCATAGAAGTATTTGCCTTGAGGGTTCTGTTGAGAGTATGGCGCACGCTCTCGTTCTACTCCTTTTAATTGATTGGCTGGCACAGGCTCCGACATGGCGTTGTTGTTGTGGAACACGTTTTTTTGTTTTTGTGCGAATGCCAGCAGGGTTGTGTTTTATTTTGATCGCAACGACAGTCACGAAAGCATGAATCCTTTCCCATATTGTCACTCGCTGGGCAGAGTTTTCGTCGATTTCGCATTCAGTCCAAACAGCGCTTGGCGTCACCATCTGCTTTCTCGGAAATAATTGATAACACTTAATTCGTTGACGTTGTCTGCATAGTTTTCTGCAGAAAAGCAAAAAGCTGTATATATGTCACTAGAACTCTGAATCATGAAACTTCCTATCGAAAGAAGGGTTTTATTAGTCGAGGGGAATCACTGAGTTCAAGGTCCAAGTTTTAACAAGAAAAATAACGTCACTGAATTCACCACGACTTTCGAATTCGGTCTTCTCACGACTGTAGGCTGATGAATCATGACCTGATGGAAAGGTGATTCAAGGAGATGCTGGAGGAGGGTGGATGGCATGGGAGTTCGATTTCTGTGTCCTTTGTTGCAGCCTGTTTCCTGCAGTCTCATGTTGCAGTCTTACGTATGCAGGGAACAGGTATTTCTCTTTTGAAGGCCCAATGTAAATCTTTCACAAGGAAGCTCGACGTATCCTATCGATTCATTTAGGAAAGGGAGTGTGAAAACACTGTAGTAAACAGGTCTGCAGAAAAACAACAGTGCAACCACAGAGCAATGGCTCATGAACAACAAAATGTTCGAGTACCAGGAATACCGAAGGCTTTTCATTTCTTGTTAATCTCATCTATTCTCCAACAGTCCCTTTATACATCCGTTACAGCTGCATCTGGGAAATGTTCACATCCTTCTGTTTTCTGCTCTAACATCAATTTTGACGACTTTCTTACGCCATCCTGATGGCATGTAAACAATATTATGACTGCACATGACATGATCTTTATTAACCGTGTCTAACTATTAGAATAGATAAGTGGGCTGCTCGATCGGGTTGTCCAGTAGCTTGCCAATAGGACATTTAAGCATCTCCTCTCTCTCACT